CTGAAATGTCATGAATTCAATAATATAAAAATTAGGACAGGTATAAATCTATGCCACCACTATATATCCATTGTACACATTTTTTTTTAAACTTCTTAAAAATTTTTCTTAAAGCCCAGAATTTGTTAACCCCAAAATTTAATATAATAGTTTTAAATCTTAGATTGGCATTGATCAAAATATTACATCTGCAGCAAAGATACATTTTATCTTTTGAGCTCTTCATAGCCTGGAGTGTGTTCTAAGTTCAAATTAATACCACACTTTAGTTTAGTCCTAGTTAAACCAAGGAGAATCCAATGAAACAAAATCAAGATGAAGTTAAGTCTGAAAACGACGTAACAGGAGGAATTGTTAAACCAGGAATATTTAGCCTAAAGCATTGATTTTGACTTTTTGAGGCATTAGTGATATTCAATGTTAAGTGCACCAAAAAATACTTCTCATTTGATGGGTTAGACTTCTATGCCCCTTGAAACTAAAACTAGGATAAATATGTTGAAGTTGGAGAGAGACATATTAGGAGCGAAACCATGAATTTTCAAGCTGTCTCAATACCTTTCCACCCCATTAGATGGGGACTTGCTATGGAGAGGTGGAAGTCACAGGTCAGAAATTGGAGTGAGGGGAGTGGGTGCAGAGTTCTCTGATTTCTCCAAGTCTCATGTTCTTTCATTGTGTGTGTAGAATTAGATAAAAGCAAGGGTTATCAGAATCAGAGCTAGAAAATACTATTCCTGCATAACTGTCATGCTGTAAGTACTGTAGATGCGAAGACAAGGAATTCCAATTAGATCCGCTAACTGTAGAATTCTTGTCTTTCAGCCTGTGGACCCCGCCACACACACACACACACACACACACACACACACACACACACACACACACACACACACACCCGGGGAAATGGACAGCCTCTCTTCCCCTCTATCCCTGAAGAACATGGGTTCGCTGAGCCAGTGGTGTGCTCAGCACCATTAACAAAGCAAAGCCAAACAACAGAGAACACTGGAGAAAGCTTTTTTCAACCCATGTTTTTCGCATAATACCTGGCATCACAGATATGGTTGTAATCCCCACCTGTGGTATGAGAAATAACAAAATCTCGATTGAGTGGCCAAAAGGTAGAAGGAGACTTCACTAAAACACTGAGTGGCTAACCTTCAAAGTTAAGGGAGGGTACAGAGAAGCACTGAGAGCCACTCACTCTTTGGACAATGTGGGCATAAATCCCAAAAGGTTAGAACAGTGGAGATTTGTTTAAAACTTTTAACGAGTTAGGTTTAGGACAAATAAAAAGAAATACACCTTCAAGAATCAGCATCGGGTGGTTTTGTAAAGAAATAGAACTGCACTGGAATCCCTAAGCGACTTCTGGGTAGAGTGAGTGTGCAGCTCTCAGCACATCCTGCAGGTGCTCCTGCCTTCCTCTGTGGTCTTCGTGGCTTTCTTGTAATGACGCCTACCCTGTCCTGGATGGACATTAGTGTCTATGAACAAATAACCCACCTCACCTGGAAGCAATGTTTAATTGTTGTATTTTATCTGATGTTCTGTCTGTGTTGGGGTTTGTACCCCCTAGAATCTGATTTGAATTGTAACTGGCATCAAGGAGCATTAACAGTGGAAAACAGAGCCCAACATTTTACCCACAGTGAGGGACTGTCTCCCTTTCCCTCGTCTTCTCTTAGGTTGTGATTAAGGAATCCTCCACAAAGGGCCTCGCATGTCTTTGTCTTCCAGCCCCACATCTTAGGCAGTGCCTGAGCGACCCCCCAGCATAGCTGTGTTTGACCACACCAGCAGTCCTGTCACCAGCCAGTTGGCTTCCTGCCTCCCGAAACTGGGACTTGAGTATATTTTTTACGAAATTTATAAATCAAATTATGTCTTTCTCATACTAAATAGCTTCCCTTCAGTATGGAGTTTCAGGATTCTCCATGAACCTTTTCAGACTTCAATTTCAAATGGGGTTATTTATAAATCTCAAGTGGGCCTGTGAAATGCATATTACAGATTTTAGAAAGTTAACCCAGAATACTGTGTTTGCACTCCTTTGCCCTTTAAAACATTGAAATGGCGTTCTTTAGGAGGGTCTTCCTAGTCCTGCAGACAAGCAAACAGCATGTGCCCTATGCATGCACAGCAGGTGCAAGATGCCCTCTTAGACCGAGGTGGTCTGTGTTTGGCATTCTGTGCTATCCTTACTGAAAGCCCTCTGAAAATGCAACTATGATTTCATTAATCTTAGACCGTGACTTGGGTGATTCCGATATAAATTTTGACTCTTTTTCTGTAGGCACTTTTGTTTTATAAATTATGCTGTTTCATGAAAGTTCACTTAATTTTTTTAAACAAGCATTGAAAGTGTCTATAATTTTCACACATTAAATCAGAAATTTCAGGGCTAGGTGTGGTGGCCCAGGCCTGTGATCCTAGCACCCTGGCGACTGAAGCAGAAGGACCGCCATGCGTTCCAGGCCAACATGAACTACAGAACAAGAGCCTGTCTCAAAAAAACAAATCATTGGCCGGGGATTTAGCTCAGTGGTTCCACCACCTGCCTCACAAGCACAAGGTCTCGAGTTTGATCCCCAGCACCAAAAAAACCAAAAAACCCCCAAAAAACAAATAATTAAAAATTTAAAAATAAAAATTATACTTGTATTCAGCAGGCAGTGCTTTGTAGGTATCCTCCATTGAAGAAAGATGTATAACTAATCATTTGCTGCCCTATGTCTTGATAGTTCCGCATTGAAATCTGGTCTGAAGAGTAGAAACTTCAAATGTTTTCTTCTATATTTCCTTTCCAAAAAGTGGTCTACTACTATTATAGATGTGGCAGTAAACATTATGAATTTAAATTCTATTATTCTGAAGATATACATTAAATTATATATCAGGGCTACAAAATTGGACTTTAGATTCCGTTTTAAGCTGTAACACTACAATCTCAATAGAGCATTTGAATCCAACATCTTATATTTAAAAGTGTCCAGAAACCAGAGCTTCTACCTATATTTTCTGCTGCTAAATGACATCTCTCAAACTTTGGTGGTGAATATGTACATGGTATTTCCTTTTTCTTTGTTTTCTTCTGTGGGGGGCAGGGTCTCACTATGTAGTTCAAGGTGCCCTTGAACTCATTATGTAGCCCAGGCTGACCTTGAACTCATGAGGTTCCTCCTGCCACAGCCTCCCAAATCCTGGGATTACAGGCATGCACCACCACACCTGGCCTGTGTACATGGTATTTCTTTCACAGATGAGCTGTTAGCAACAGAGACCTTTTATCTATTTAGTAATACATCTCAGTCCAAAATGATTTTCCCTCTAGACAAAGCAGGCTTAACATTATTGAGGATAAAATTCAATAGTTATGCATTTAAGTATGCCAGGGTGATCGCTGCTAGACTTAGCATAACCAAGTATTCTCTTCTTCAGTAAATATTTATTCAAAAATAGTCTTTGTGATATATTTTGTGTCAATTTGAAAAATTATTCCCCCACCAGATGGGGGACTGTATTTTGCATATGCCCTCAAGGGTAAATAACTTTCCCTTGGAAACAGCAGAAAGTCTACCACTCTGAACTGCTGCCTCTATGAATCAGTGCCACAGCCTAATGCTTTATCGAAGAGCATCTACTTTTTTCTCTAGATAGAGCACAGAAAGATCTTTGGTGGTGATATAAGTTGGAGCCCACTTATTCTAGAAGGCCATGTTTAAAGCATTCCCTTTAATTTCAGAATGTTCAAAGATGCAGGTTAAATATGCTCTCATAGGGTGGTGAAGCTTTTTTTTTTCTTTTGGGAATTTTATTTTCAGTTATCCCTTTGGCTGTATACTCGTATTTTGATCTTAAATGAGAAAGAGGATTATCTTTCAATTATAAGGTGCCTCATAAAGTTAAAAGGAAAAAAATCTTGCAGAGATTTTTCACTAGCCTAGATGAGATTAATGAAAATGTAAATATAAAATACTAGAAATTAGTAAGAAAGGTTCAAAATCTGTAAGAGGAAATGATAAAGACTTCAAGTAAAACCTAAGTATCACAAGTACCTCCTTGTCTCCCCAAGTAATTTATAATTTACTGTCATTCTTCAAATTTCAAATTTCAGGGTTTTGAATTTGCTTTTTCTTTCTGAAGGAGAAACGTGTCCAAGTTATTATAAATTGTCTTTAAGGGGAAAAAAAGTTTTAAATGCTTTTTAACAAAGAAGAGAGGTGAAGAGTCATTTAATGCAGAGTGTCAGAATATCACAAGTCCCAGTGACCATAGCATTTTGTTGTGTAGTTCCAAACACCCCCAAAAAGAGAAAAACCTGAATCAAAACCATCTTTGATAGGTTTGTCTTTCTGGGCATGGGTTAATTTTGTTTCTTAGGTGGGAAGTGTGCAAAAGATAATGATAAAGACTATTATTGCTCAACAGACATTGATATATTCCTGCTGATTCCCCAACCTCCTTTCCAGTTAAGGCTTATGTAACCAGTTAAGATCAAACATAAGTAGAATGATGTCAGTTCCTTCCATACCTTGTCCTTTAAAACCTTCTCTGCAGTCTGCCAACTTGCCCCTTGATGGCCTGGCGGTCACGTGTTCCAGATGAGGGCAGGAATTTGCAAACAGCTTGGATCTCTGAGTCACTGGTTGGAAGACAGCGAGGTGGGCAAGCTTTCTAACCGTTGTCAGCCCATGGCATGAGCGAAAAATAAATATCTGCTGCATTTTAAAAACGTGCGAAAGACTGGCAGATAAAACTGATAGAACTCGGCGCTTCTACACTAGAAATCAATTCTTGCCTCACTTAATTCTTAAGATATTAATTGACAATTCAACCAAAAATGAATCCTTAAAAGAAACTGAAATATGTTCGGAAGCAGAGGAAATGAATAGTTATCACATGTTACGTTTGGGAAGAATATTCCATATAAGGAAACATAAATTCCAGGGAAAAAGCGAGCTATGCAACTGATGTTCTCCACTCTTCTCTATCAGGTTTTCCAGGGCAATTTCGACAATGACACCCACAGAAAAAATGTCATCGAGCCCCCCATCTATGCACGACACATAAGAATCCTCCCCTGGTCGTGGTACGGGAGGATCACGCTGCGATCGGAGCTGCTGGGCTGCACGGAAGAGGAATGAGAAACCCGCACACCCCACAACCTCTCCTCTGTTCCCCAGAAAGCGTCTCCGTGGGAAGAACCGTGCGGATCCTACGGAAGAACCGTAGGACACTGAATGGTTGTTTTTGTTTTTTTTATGAAAAGTGCGCAGATTATGGTAGGCCACTAACTGTCCTTTAGGAACCCTAAACCTGCCTTTTCAGTGATTTGATTTTTAGGGTTCAACTCTCTTAAGTAACATCACATTAACTGTGAATTCCTTTTTTCATTGTTTTCTGAATTATTCACATTGGGTGAGATATGGTAGGGAAAGGAAGTATCCTTTTTATAGCAAAGGTTTAAAAAAAAACCTCGTAGTTATCAAATAAAAGAAGAATTGATAGAGCTTTTACAAGAAATGGTTAATTCTTATTAAAAATACTGCAATGTTAGCAATAAGTTTTTTTAATGACTTTGCATTACCTTGTTTCCCTGTGCCTAACGCTCAGTGTTTATAACAGAATTTTGAAGAAGAATCTGTGATATGCAGTACTAATTAATACTATAATTCTAATTTTACTTCCATTATTTCTAATTAGAGATTTATGATTTCTTTTTCCTTTTGACTCCCGTCTGTATTCTTTACTTTGCTTATTGCCTGAATTAGTCAGTATTTTTCCAATTGCAGTTCTTCCTATTATTTGCCTAAAGGGAGTGTTGTGTTCATTTATATCTATAGACTATGATTGCATATCAGCAGACCAATCCATATTTAATGTCAATTAAATATGTTTTATTCTTGAGGAAAACTGTACCTATGTAATTCCCAAATGCCTCCTTTCTGAAGAATCCCTTTTTGTCGTTTCACTGTGAGAAACGACAAAAAGTATTGTCCCTTTAAAAATTGTAAGTCTTTGATAGCATTTACTTAGGTTTGTATTTACTATGAAATAGCAGAATCATGAATTCTTTGTCCATTTCAAGAGCATCTGGCAAACTAATATGAACACAGTGCTACATCACTTGGCCGAACATATTCATCTTCCCACATTTCCTGGGAAACCAAGATTCTGTCGCTATTTGAAACTGGTGACGGTTTCCCAGGAAAGCACATTGTGCAGTTATTTGTAACAAGCGATGTATTTACTAATGACAATGTTCTAAACCATTCTCAAGATGAAAATTGATTTCTCTTTATTTTACCTCAAAGGTCCTGAAAAAGTAAGCAATTATCCTAACAATTTGTTATTGATAATGGAAGTTTCATTGACACGTCTCTCAAATTAAAGCTCACCCTGCCTCCATAAAAGTCCTCAACCTCTAAATTATAAGCTTTACAAGTATTTATTTTACAAGGCTTAGACACAGAATTATTGGAATTTTAGATTAAGGGTCCCAGAAAAGAAAGGCCGGTATGTGTACGAAATGTTAAGGTCCTGAGCAATGCAGGTAAGTGTTTTTTTCTTTAATACTTGTGCTACATCACAAAAGCCACTAGACTGTTAATGTCCCATTTGTCCATGTGTTAATACCATTTCTTAATGATGTGTATATGCAGTGGTCTTCAAGCATAGTGAGGAATCTAAAGAGAAAGCCAATCACACTGAGGTGGAAATAAGAGGGAACTAGCTGGTCCAGTCACACAAGACTCCCAAGCTCACGGATTTTCTAATTCAGGTTCTTACAATAAAACTGTGGACTGTAAGCCCTGCTCAGTTTTCAACATCTCTCAGAGTGAAATCGCTATGTCTTCAGTATTATCATTTGTAGTTAACTTTAAAGTCAGGAATGCAAAATATTTTTGAGTGACTACAGCTAAACTCATGTTATGCAGTTACTGAAATTCAGAAATACACACTTAGAGTACAGCCAGTGGTTCTTATTTCTTTGGGGATTTAGATTTCTGAATGTTTTTCTTTGCACATTATGCAAGATTTTTGTTTTAAGATTATATTTTAAATATTATGAATAGTACTTTGTGATAATTTGCATTTCCAAGACTATTCATGGTTTTGTGTGAGGTTTTGAATTTTTTATATTGATAGCTATTAAAAAGAAGTTGGTGAAAATTATATTTGTTACTTTTAGAAAGGCACTGAAATACTTTCTCTTGCTTGTCCATTTACTCTCTGTGTTATATACTGTTCACAATATAGTGTGTCCAATGGAATATTTGTCCCCTGATGCCTAAAATTAACAACAGCAAAGAGCCTCCCACGTGTGGAAATGTTCCTAATTATTGTGAAATAGACTCTGTGTTGCTTGTGTCAACGACATTATAGTGAAGCAAATTTATTTTATTTTCATTCTCACTGAAATAAATCTCATAAAAAGCAAACGAGAATTACCTAACCTTCACTATATTAACTATAATGTGTTCATTTTATCATTTCTGAGACTAAAAAATCCAGCCATCTCCATTTTATCGATGTCCCATGACAGCATTAATCACAGTCACTAACTGCATTTAAAGTTGACTTTCTCTTTCTAAAAGACTTCATAAAGATTGGTGTGAATTTTGAAGACTTGGGGTTCTAATGATTGTATCTTTGCGAGTCAACAAACTATGAAATGTAATACTGAATGCTGGCTTCTGAAAGGTCAGTAGGTTCAAAAATAACCGAGACACAATAACCTTTGCAAATTTTCAAGCTGTGTAATATCCTAATGTTGTTTTATTTTTCTTTGTATATATACTGAAATCACGTAGGATGTTGTAAAGTCAGTATGACCTTGTCTAGTCTTTAAACTTAAAATAAACTTTTGAAAATCTGGGATACTTTTCAAGCAGTTATAATTAAAAATGTTTGTAAGAATACACAGATTGTGAATGCCAGCGACTCTTGACTACACGCTTAGTATACTTTCTGCTTGTACAGAAGAACACTTAACCAGCTATAGGGAGAATAGAAATGATAGGAGCTTTCAAATATTTAAGAATGCAAGCTAAGTTGATCGGTCCAAGATTATCAAAGTGTATGCTTCCCTCATGCCCCTTTTATTTGTAGAAATTTTGTTAATAACAATCCAGAGTCATTTTTTTTTGCCTCCTTCACATTAAGCTGTTGTGCTGTAGGCCTGATCTGCCCATTGTTAATCAGATGATGTTGCTGTTGTTTCTATTATTTTTCCAGTTCACGATGCTCAGGAGCATAATGAAGTAAGCCAGTCAGCAATGAGCAATAACATGACACTAGTAATATATGTTCTAAGCAAGTTCAGCTGGAAAATCAGAACACTAAGCTTCTTCATAAATCCTTTCTGCCTCTCTGTAAGTCACTAGGGAAATATTAATCATATATATTTTTCACTTTTTTCTATTTTCTTAGAATTCAACAATTTCAGAAAAATTAAGATATTAAATGTTGAGTTCACTGAAGCATCAGTGACTCACTTACAGCTCTTAGTACTAATTTATACGTGTTTATGTGTCCTTTCAGGTTCTCATTTGGTCCATTGTTTGCTTATCTTTTGCATACACACACATATGTTTCTGTTAAATAAATGTAGTTATGCACCTATAATTGTAAGAAGGCCAATAATTAATCATGACAATATCTATACAGGACAAAGTTCATTGTGATAGAGGAGTTATTCAAAAAGAAATTTGTAACTACAAGGCTTTTTAAATGACCTATTCAAGTGCAGAAATAAAAGAAGCCTTTAGAATTCCAAGGAGAAAAGTTGGCCAGGTTGGAAACTGGTTTTAAAGTGTATTTGGAATAACTTCATGAATGGGAAACATTTTCTGCAATTAAAATTAAAATTTGACATATCTAACACTGCAGCTTTGAATATATGTTTTAAAGATGTGGGTAAAGAAACATTAGGGTTTTTTCCTCTCAGAAATACAATGATTTCTGTCTTATTTTCCAAAGAACAGGGTTTTAAAGAAATGAACAGTCAAGCTTGTATACTAGTTACTTGTGAAAAAATATTGCCTCTACACTTTGAGATTCAAAAAACCCTTTTACTGGAACTGGTGAAACAGAGAATTAAACCACTTCCCCAGTGGACAAATGTTGCAACTACCATGAACCAAGAGAAATCGGATTTGTCTTTCAAAGAACTCTAACAGTAAGTTACAATTTTCCTAGTGAGTTTGAAGCAGGAAATCGGATTCCTTACCTATAATTCATAATTAGAATATTTCAACATAGCTGCCACATAAAGTGTTTTCCACTCTGGGCAAGTGGCATTTACTTAAAGAGTTATCTTTGTTAGAAGAACTTGGTGGCAGTAAGAAGAAAACATTTTTGGAAAAGATGCCTCATTTAGTCGTTTTTGTATAACGTGGCAAAAGTTGCTTGAGCCATTTGAAGACAGTAATGCTGTGGAAATACACTGTAGTAGCACTAGCAAATGGTCACCGTGTCCAGTAATTAAACATTTCATATGGCGATTGCCTCTGATTTAATTTTATTTTAATGACCTCCAAGGCATGAACCACACACTTTCATATTTAGGTACAGTCCCTATAGTGCTCTTGGTAGGCTCACATATAAAAATGTTGATAAAGATGTTGAATCGCAACTTAAGCTCAATCTGCTGCCACCTGGCAAGGAAGGAGCGGCGTGTTCAAACAATGCATCCCCCATGGCCAATCCGCAAACAGCATTGCGATCATTGTCATCATTCCCATGAGTGCAAGGCTGGGAGCAGATGTGTACGTGAGACAGGGAACAGAAATGACTGCGTGAGAGGTGACTGAGTGGAAAACATAAATGTACATGTATCTCACAATTGCTCACCTTTTTAGTGATATAGCGGAGATTGAAAAGAAAAATAAGTAAAAGGCTCAGGAATGGCCCAAGCAGAGCAGGGGCTCGGCCAGAAACTAAGCAAAGGGGTTAGAAGTGACACAGCACAGAGGGAGACTGAACGATCCGCTGCAGGAAGCTTTACCTTCTTGCTTCTCAAGTTTCTTCGTGAATAATTTGTTGCACAGACACATGTTATTTTTTGACAGCAGAGAGGTCTCTAAAATAAACCTGTCTTCAGTTATAAAAGTATCTGGATAAGATACTTAGGGTACGTGGACTCAGACTTCAGGAATGATTAAATAATTAATGCATTATTACTGCTGATGGAATCAGTGCTAGTTGTTTTTTTTTTTAAGTACACCAGGATACAAGAGAAGAAGAGAAAGTATGAGGTGAAGAGGGGAAGGAGAGGAGAAAAAAATAAAAATCCTTTGTAAAAATTAATTTATAAAACATTTTAATTATATTCCTGTATATAAATATAGATACACATATTTTTTTCTCTTTATCATGGTGAAACATAGTATTCTCTAACATTAAGCAAGCACATGAAAGTCAAAACCTGAGCCACATCGTCAGCAAGCTGCTTTCTACCTGGGTGTTGTCTTTCTACCTGGTAGCCACGTGCTCTGGGAGGGCCAGGGGCCAGTGTGGGTTTCCAGCCAGGACTGGACCCTCTCAACAGGAGGCTGTTGGAGGCTTGGTGGGGAGAAAAGAGGTCTGGTGCTGAAAGCCTGAGGGAGCTTTTCAGAGATGTAGAGGTACAAAATAGAGAGCCATGTGCATTTTTGCCTCTGCCTCCCTCCTCAAAAAATACTTGAGTGCAGTGTCAGTTTCTCCCTCATTGCACTGGACTGTTGGATCTGCTAGGACAGATGGGCCGCATTTTAGGAGAGACCTGAAGATTCGTGTGTGCAGCATCAATCAGTGCTAACTGCGGCGGACCTGCAATTTGGGGTGACACAAAGCAGATCCATGGGTTCATCTGGTTTTGTTTTAATAGACTTCGGAGTGTTCTAACTGGATCTTTCTAGTCATTTCTTGTTTCAAAATTCATAATCTGAGTCCTTCTACATCGTCATTTTAACTTGTGAATCCTATATTTCAGAAACTCTATCTACTGATTCCTTGCTTGAGCATTTTTCTACAAAAGTTAATATCACAAATTCTTATGTCTCTGAATTGGATGATTAGACTGTGATTCACATGCTGTACCAATATCAAAATATGTTTTCACTTTCACTGGACATATAAAAACCATATTTCTTTCATAAATAACACAACACACTGGAGAAACTATTAGTCTGAAGAAAACATCCACCTTTTGGTTGGTCAAACAGTTTTTTAATTTAAGCATCTATTTCGCATCAATCTAAAAGATAGGACTGAGATAATAAAACAAAGCAGACAGTTATAATGGGTGCTATGGCAAGAATTTGCTCCATGTACAAAGAGAAGACAGTCAATGGGACAGATCAAAGGACACATGTTGGGGCAGTGATACCTGAAAAATTACTAAAGCTGTCAACATTATCTGTGAACCACAAAATATCCAATGTGTTATTCGTAACTACTCAAGGAAGAATGAATTAACATGTCCTCTGTGAAAAAAAGAAGGAAAAGCTGAATGGTTTCAGGATTACGATCTGTGCCCAGATATAATGGGTCCTTTCACCTCCTTTCAAATTTTCTTTTCTAAGTCAAAATACATTGGAAATGTATTTCATTTCACAGGAGGAATGACCTGAGCAGCCAGTAGTTATGATTTGTTTATTCTACAATTTTTCATATGCTTCCAAATAAATTAATACACCAGTATTACCTAATAACATATCTGTGGAACAGTTGATCAGTGGGTGACGTGTTGATCATCTCATGAATATTTTAACAATCCACCAATGACTGAACAAAAAGTGAACTATTGTGGGATGAATATTGGATGACATTAATTTTTTGAAGGCAAATAATAAACCCAAGATGTGGAAGCATCTGCTATTATAAAACACCGGGAATGGACTATTCTCTTATAGAGAGCATGTGCTCTTCCATGCAATAACCGAAAATATTTATACTGAACATCCACTGTTTACTAGAGTTCAATTTGAATCTTTCAGTTTTATGATGGTATGGATACCACAGAAACTGAACTTCAGAATTTGAATTTTGGTCTTTCCCTGGACTTAGCTCCATGCATTCCCCCCTCTCTTGAGACACTGGACATCCACACTGAGCCAAAGCTCCCCGTCAGCTATGCGATTGTGAGGCGCAGCAGCGGACACTCCATTGCATGTCACACTCCCGAGTTTCTGGACACAGGTGCTCCATAGATTACATGAGCTTTTTTGACACTTAATTGTCAAATACCTTTTGTGTTAATTTTTTTCCCTTTTATAGGCTAATGTAAGTGTTCTGATCACCTTTAAGATAGGTCAATGCTATGCTATGATGTTGGATAGGTGTATAGAGTATATTATTTTACTATGATAACTTCAAATTATAATATATTCAACCAGACACAAATCCATAATAAGTTGCAGAACATATGTATTTAAGAAAAAATTGAAAATAGTACCCTATGGATAAGTTATCCACTTTTTACAAAGAAATTCAAATAACACAAGAAAATACAAAACACTGTGTTTTGATATTTAGTTCCCAAAGTTAGAGTTACTGGGGCTGGAATGCCTTTTCTCTTTAAGGGGTAGATTTCTACCATATCACTCCAGAAAGAATGTCTATGATCAAGAAATCAAATAATAGGGCCCGGGGATTTCACTCAGTGGTTCTGCCGCCTGCCTTGCAAGCACAAGGACCTGAGTTCAATTCCTGGTACCAGAAAAAAAAAAAAAAAGAGTTTCTATACTGTGAATTAGATGACAAGCTGAATAGTAAATAATATCTTAGAAAGTTAAATAATGCACCAGCACTATTCAAGGAACCAACCTTGTAACAATAAATTGATTGGCCATTGTCTTTTTCATTCCCTCATGACTTTTCAATTCGTAGAATTAGGAGCTTAATCAGGTACAAATAACCCTGTACAAGCCCATGTAAT